CTCTTCCTCCTCCTCCCTCTTCTCTTCCTCCTCCTCCCTCTTTTCCTCCTCTCCTACTCCTTCTCTTCCTCCTCCTCCCTCTTCTCTTTTCTCTCCTCCCTCTTCTCTTCCTCCTCCTCTTCCTCCCTCTTCTCCTCCTCTCCTCCTCTTCCTCCTTCTCTCCTCCTCCTCCTCCCTCTCCTCCTCTTTTCCTCCTCCTCCCCCCAAACCCCACTCCCTTTGAGCACTGATGATGTTACTTAGCGGGATCATGAAATGTCTACAAGAAAACCACCCAGCTCAGAGAGCATCCAAGGACCCCCACAGTCCCTCCATTAATTTTCCCAATGGGTCGCATGAGAAATTTGAACTGCTGTGGAGGGCCGAAACAACAGGGGTGTGTGAAATTGGGTAAGCAAAATTTAATTATTGCCTTCCAAACCAAAAGCAATCCCAGGGGACCTGAACAGAGCCAGCCAAAAGCTCAAATTTAGCCTGCAGGCCATAAAAAACGCCCAGGTCTGCTTTAGATTCATTCATTCATTCATTCATTCATTCATTCATCCATCCATCCATCCACTCATTCATTCTCCCTCCCTCCCTCTAAATCTAATAGCTCCCTCATCCTTTGATGGTGGGTGGAATCAGATGAAGATTTGTAAGCAAAAAAAAATAAAATTAAACACCTCCTTTTCTTTTTCAGGCCTGGAAGGAAGCGAGATTATAGTCCGGTTTCCTGGAACCAATATTTTGAATCTATGGAAGATGTCGTGGTTGACACTGACTCTGGCAAGGATATATCCTTCTCTTTTGGTCTCTGGTGTATTTATTCCAATTGCCTAATCTTGACGGTGCGGTTAATAATTGAAGCCAAGGGTTCTCCCAGCTCCATTTAGCACGCCCATCTTATTGCTAGATGACTTTCGAATTAAAAATGCAAAAACAACTGTGGGCCAGCCATCACTTCCTTTTTTTAAACCCCAAAAGAAGAAAGCTATAGGTCTTCTAAGACACCTCTGTTAATTAATACGGGTTGTCCTCTCATTAGGACCGGTCACTTAGCAATTCTTCGTAGTTCCAGTTAAGCTCCCTGGGTCTATTTCCAGCCCACTAACCATCGTGGCTAGTCTAGGGAAGAGAAGGACCAGGGGAGACAGGAGAACATCTTCCCATAGTTGAGGGGCTGCCCCAGAGAGGAGGAAGGGGTCAAACTATTTTCCAAGGCACCCAAAGGCCAGACAAGGAATAATGGATGGAAAGTGAACCAGGAGAGATTTTTCAACCTGGAAATAAGGAGAAATTTTCTGACAGGGAGAACAATCCACCCATGGAAGAGAAGTTGCCTTCGGAAGTTGTGGGAGCTTCATCCCTGGAGGCTTTCAAGAAGAGACTGGACTGCCCTCTGTTAGAAATGGTGTAGGGTCTCCTGCTTGGGCAGGGGGTTGGACTAGATGACCTACAAGGTCCCTTCCCACGCTGTCAATCTGATGTATTGCTCTTTTCTGAACTCTTTCCAGAGTCCCAACATCTTTTTATTACAGCAAGGTGACCAAACCTGGATGCCGTATTCCAGGCGCGGCCTTACCAAGGCCTTATAAAGTGGTACTAACACTTCACGTGGTCTTGATTCTGTCTCTCCAAGGTCCCTCGCAGCCCCGGGGATTTTATGATTCTCTATAGTAGTGTTCTGTCAGAGTATATTCATGAACTGGAATAAGTGCTCGGTAACAAGGTCGGCCCAATGAATAGGCGTAGCAACTAAGTCAGCCAATGAGGACTGTTTGGAAAGTGAAACGAGAAGTAGCCTAGGCCTGGCTCTATATTAAGCTCTGAAGCTCTGTTAAGCTCCGAGTCTGTCTATTGAAAATGAAACAGCTTCTCTGCTGTGTGTCTTGCTTGCCTGCTGAACTAAAGTGAAACTGAGGTCTGTTTCCGAGCTCCTGCGTTGCTGCTGTTCTCCTATGAACCTGTAATATGTCTGCTTCTGGAGAAATCTACAACTGGTATTGTAAAATTGGCTTTACGTGTTTGTAAAGAAGTTAAATGAAGCCTCAGCCGTCTGTGTTTAGTTTTCTGGCGCTGAATTTACGCTGCATAACTCTGAAGATGTTCTACCTCCTCCTCTTTTCCCCCCTTTAATCTGGAGTCTTTCCCAGGAGGTTGTCCTTTCCTTAACTGTTCATACACTTTTCGAGTTTACAAGAGCGGGTCCGAAGGTCCGGTGTTGCTCCTACTTCACGGTGGAGGTCATTCTGCGCTCTCCTGGGCCGTCTTCACCGTAAGTCCCTTCCTTGTTGGTTTCTTTCTGGGTTTTAGATTTTTAAAACCCCGCAGAGCGACTCTGGGCATGTCGCTTATCTACAGGGCAGTCCCTCGACGTACGGCCCTCAACGTTTCTTTCGTCGCTAAGCGAGACGTTTGTTTCAGTTGAGCTCTGCCCCCATTCCGCGACCTTTCCCTGCCACGGGGACGAAGCAAGTCGTTTAATCGTCATTAAGTCGATAACGCGGCCGTTAAGCGAATCCGGCTTCCGAAGGTCGCTCCGAAGGGGATCGCGTGAGCCCTGGGACCGTTGTAAATATGAAACACCGCCCCCCCCGCCTTGCCAAGCGTCCCGAATTTGGATGACGGGGGATGCTGCGAAGGTCATAAGTGCGAAAAACGGTCCTTTTAAGTCAGTTTTTTTTTTCAGGGACGCTGTAAGTTCGAACAGTCCCTAAACGGACTGTCGTAAGTGGAGGGTTATCTGTACTCTGGCATCTCATTGGCCAGGGGAGCTTCCATCGGTTTGCAATCCCTGCCCAGTTTTTTGGGGCAGGAAAAGCTTTTTTGTGAGGGGTTTTGTGGTTTTTTTTTCATGTTTTGGTCACCTGGTCTCCCAGCAAAAACCTATTTTTAAAATGGCCTCTCAAGCAGAAATGCCGCTTCATTGTGGCAGGGCCCAAAATAACACTGCTAAGTGTTATAAATATAAAGTATAAATATGAAATATAAATATAAAAAGCAGGGATATACCATGTTTCCCCGAAAATAAGGCTCTGTTGTCAGGGCTCCAACAAATCCATCCCCATTCAAATCCTAAGTCTCTAGCCGTATCTCTCAAGAGTAAAAAAAAAGATTAGGAGTAGCCATGTCGGCGTTAGCTGGGTGCAGCCGACACTAAAATACATCATTCATTTCCCCCTTGACCCTGGTCTTCCCCCCCAAACCCCTGGATGTATATTCTCCAATGGGACATATCCATAGCCAAGAGTCATCAATCATGCTCTCCAGTAATAATCTTGCGCACCAATAGCTTCGGCTGCCAAGCTGATTATCTGAGGCATTTACAGAATGCACTGCTT